GTGGCCGGGAAGCCGGCTGCCAGGGCCCGATGCTTTGCACTGGGGGCGGGGCCGGGGGGCCGGGGCCGAGCCGGCCCCCATCTCAAAGGCCTCACACCCTTGGGGAAGCAACTGCAGCTTTGGGGACTTTCTGCGCCTACAATTACTTCCAGGGGGAGAGCCTTGGTTTGCACGAGGGTGACGTAATCACTGCCCCCCTGCCTACAAACACACCGCACCAGCGGAGGGGCTGGCAGGACCCATCCCCACAAGCTGAAGGGAGAGCAGCAGCCTGGCTTCTGGCCTCTGGCTCCACCGCTCCGCCAGAACCAGCCCTCCCCCGGCGAGGACAGAGTGCCAACCCAGCCAGGGAAGCCCTTTAATAAAGATCACACGACAATCTCCACTTCCGATTTTCACACCGCGGACAAAGCTCCGCCAGAACCAGCCCTCCCCCGGCGAGGACAGAGTGCCAACCCAGCCAGGGAAGCCCTTTAATAAAGATCACACGACAATCTCCACTTCCGATTTTCACACCGCGGACAAAAGCATCGGCCAACGGGAGGCTAGCTAGGACAGCTCCTTCCCCCTCCCCGGGCAATGCAGCGTTTGTGAGGCCAAGGGCCTTTCCTCCCGGGCCGCGCTGCAGCATGTGGCACCGGGCACAGCCTGCCCGAGAGGGTTAGTCAGTCCCACGCCGCACGGGGATCAAGGCACAGGCTCCGGCTCAGCGGCTCCGAGAGGACCAGGCAGGCGGGCGCTCAGTGGTCTGTGAAGTTGGCCTTTCTCTTCTCCACGAAGGCTGCCATCCCTTCCTTCCGGTCATCCTGAGACAGACAGACAGGGGCTCAGGACCACAGCCCATACTGCAGTCGCGCTACGGCAGGGCTCAGCACACGGCCCATCACGCCTGCCTCGTGGGCGAGACGCTTGTTTACATTGACCGTCGGCAGGCATGTCCCCCCACAGCTCCCATTGGCCAGGGTTTGCTGTTCTTGGCCAATGGGAGCTGCAGGAGGCAGTGGCAAACACATCCATGTGGCCTGCACCACTTTCCATAGCTCCCATTGGCCGGGGTTTGCTGTTCTTGGCCAATGGGAGCTGCAGGAGGCAGTGGCAAACACATCCATGTGGCCTGGGCCACTTTCCATAGCTCCCATTGGCCGGGGTTTGCTGTTCTTGGCCAATGGGAGCTGCAGGAGGCAGTGGCCAGCACATCCATGTGGCCTGCACCACTTTCCATAGCTCCCATTGGCCAGGAACAGCAAACTGTGGTGAACAGGAGCTATGAGTGGCTGTACCTGCCAATTCACAGGTAAATAAAGTGACCAGCTGCCCACCAAGGGCTAAACCTGGTGAACTGCACCTAACCAGCAGGCTCCGTAGCGAAGGTGGCGTGGAAAAGCCTCTTCTCCATTTTAGTCCCCTCGCTCAGCGTCATCTCGAAGGCTGGCAGGTAAATAAAGTGACCAGCTGCCCACCAAGGGCTAAACCTGGTGAACTGCACCTAACCAGCAGGCTGCTTATTGCCCACCCCTGTATTAGTCCCTGATCCCAAGTCCACTGAATCAACAAAAAGACTCTCATTAACTTTTATGGACTTATATGCAGGAATGATGCTTGGTGAGAAGGAGGTAGAGTTCTTCTATGAGAAATAAGGTCCACTGGTAAAAAATAAAATCATATTCCATTCAGTCACAGGCCTAAACGTGACCGGGTATAGCAGACCCACCCAAAGGAAATACAAAACAGCCTCCTCCATTCAGGACAAGACCCAAGTGTGTGTCCTAGGCTCGTGTTCCTCAAGCTCAAAGGACTAGAAATTCTGTCAGAACAGATAGTAAAATCTCAGACCCACTAAGTCAGTGGCAAAAATCCCGCTGACTTCATCAAGGCTATGATTTTACCCAGCAACAGAAGCCTCTATGTCGTGTGAAAGAGAGTCCCAAAATTCAGCCACTAGCTCCATCTACTTTGGTCAAGTAAACAGCATCATGGAAAGGAGTCCCAGCCAGACCTCCTTAGCTGGAAAGTTGGCCTATTCCATGGGCCACTGAGTTTCTACACTTTGTTTTAAAAAAAGTTCTGAAATTATATATGGACCAATTTCTGGAGTAGATGGCATTTTTCTAAATATTGATTTCATAATGAAAGGTGATTAAAATATGGGATGAATTTTTCACAGAAAAAGTCCTTCTACTTTCTGGTAAGCCTAGAGCTGGGCAACATTTTCTGAATTTCAAAATTGTGATGAAGTTTGAGATTTTGGCAAAAAGGATGAATTCTGAACAAAAATTTTCCCTGATTTTCAACTTAGAATCATAGAATGCTAGAACTGGAAGGGACTAGTCACTTACATCCTTATCCGAGACTGTATTAAATGCCTTACAAAAGTCTAGGTATACCATACCTGCTTCTCCCTTATCCACAAGACTTGTTATCCTATCAAAGAAAGCTATCAGATTGGTTTGACATGACTTGTTCTTTACAAAACCATGCTGGCTGTTACCTATCACCTTATTATCTTCCAGGTGTTTGCAGATAAATTCCTTAATTACTTGCTCCATTAT